GGTCCGGCTGATCGCGGCTCCCACTGGCTGCTGTTCACTGCTCCAGGCCAATGGGAGCTGCGGGAAGCAGCGGGGGCCGAGGGACATACTGGCTGCCGCTTCCAGCAGCTCCCATTGGCCTGGAGCAGCGAACCGCGGCCAGTGGGAGCTGCGATTGGCCAAACCTATGGACGCGGCAGGTAAACAAACCGGCCCGGCCCGCCAGGGGCTTTCCCTGCACAAGCGGCGTCCCAAGTTTGGAAAACACTGCCCTAGACTAAATTTGGCACTGGCATTAATGGCGTCTATTGAAATTCATGTGAGTTGGCCCTGTTATTCCAGGGATGAATTTGGCCATCTGTATGTCACGTTCTCTCTCGTGTGTTTCTTCTGCTGGCATTGGGGAGCAATTCACTTCCATGTCCATGAAGTCTGGCAAGGTGGCTCGTTCGCTGAATGCATCTGGGAAGCTTTTCTCGTTGAACGCAAAGTTCTCCCTTTTTCCTGTGACTGCTTCCTTCAGAATGGAGGCGCTGTGAGCAGGGCAGAACTGGAGGAGAATTCCCACCAGTGACCGGACATGCTGCAAAGCTCTTGGAAGCGATCTAAAGTGCTTCTGACTTGCACACTGGCTTCTGCGTCATGTTCAGATAATAATTTATTTCTCTTCCTTTGCTTCCGCCCTCAACTGTATTTTACAGATATACCAGTGTATGACTTGGATGAAGGAACAGGGGAAATACCCACTTCCAGGGTGGTTAGAAATCAATTAAAAATAAATTATGTTTAAGAGTTAAATACATTCTTCTTTTTAAACGTCAGCCCATTAAATGTAAAACTGACAACCTGTGTTAAGGTCTTAACTTCCTAAAATCCATATAAATAAATAATGCTGCATTAATGAGCCCTCCTCGAATTTTAAACAGTTTAAGGGTGCTGCTTTTTCAATGATGCATGGAAGCAGGGGGAAAACATCTTTCACTTTTGAGGTCAACTCAAACTTTATAAGTAAATCACAATGTCATGCACTGCATTAGTATCTATATTATTTACAGTCTTTACAATGGAACGAATGCTGATACTGTTTTTACATTTTTCCCAATGTAAGTGCTTTCAGTTTCTGTTGTGCAGAAAAGCTTTTGCCATAATTACTTTTGGTTTTAGTTAAGCTAGCAGGTGCAAAGAGAATATTTTCTTCGTTAGTACTAGTTCATTCAAAGTTGAGAAACTGGTTGGAAGTTGAGAAAGCAGGAAGGCTTGTTTTCCTCTTCCAGTCAATTTATCCTGGGGGTGAGTTTGGCCAACGGTTGGGAAAACCCAACTTGGGAGTGTTTTTGGGTGCTGTGGCAGCAGAAAAGCTCAGATCTTAGCTAACTCTTTCTCATGTTGCCTGTTCAGAATTGGCCAACCTAGAAGAGGATCCCAGATCTGCTGGGGTAGCTACTTTTGTGCTTCAGGAGGAATTTGATAGATATACTGGCTACTGGTGGTGTCCGAATGCTGAGCCAAGTAAGTATGCTAAATGTAGTCTGTCTGACACGCATGAAACATTGTCACTTTAGAGTGGCTCGCGGCCAGGAGTGCCTACCTCAGGGCAGACTGTCAAAAACAGGGGAGATCCCCAAACTGGTGGTATGTTCTATAATTAGATTTCACCAACCCAGTACTAAATCTGAGCTCTCAAAGTGCTATAATAGTCTTACAATGGAGTCACAGACAGTCCCCTTAGACACTCCAGTCTAGCTTGCCATGCAGGTAAGCTGAACTATATAATAAATGGTCTCTTACACCAAAAATCAGAAAATATTTAGGTTACACCCAGTCCCAAGAGACCAGTCACTCACCCAGGTTGATTTGCATCCTAGATATCACATCAAAGACAACATTTGTAGCTAATTCTATAGTAAACTAACTAAAGGTTTATTAGCTAGGAAAAAGAAATGTTATTGAGAGGTTAAAGGAGTTAAAATATGTATATACACAGATGAGTCACAGTCTGTAATTCCAAATGGTAACAGATGGAATAATCTGCCAGTTTCCCAAAAGTTTCTCAGAGCTGCCCAGAATAACTCTGGGATCTCCATCGTCTTGTTCAGCTATTCTGCCTTTGTAGAATCCTAACTGTCCAGAGATGAAGAATTTTTTCTTGGGTCCATATTTATAGTTTCTTCTCACAGAAAACAAGTTGACAGTTTGGCTACCCACACGGGCTCTTTCTTTCATGATGGGAGAGTGAGGAATGCGTTTACAGTTATTGATCTCCCATCATCACACACAGTGACCGCTTGCTTTGAAATGCACTGGAATTAGCACCTTTCCGCTATAGTCCTTCATTTACATTACTTGAGGCGTCTTTCTGTTTGATAAGTTACTCGTTGCAGGGGTATATACAGTGCAAATGTTTGCTGTTATATTCTAACGTGGGGTGTAGTTGAGTGAGAACAATACATGCGGCATCCTACAAGCATTTTATAGAACACTAAACACATTCTTGTCAACTTAACATCTAATATTTATTTTGATAATGCGAACACACAGATAGGCAAGACTGGTTTCTGGCTATACGTTTGTCAGTGCTCAGTCAGGCCTGGGGCCTTGGCATGAGCTGGCACGTGGTCTGCCAGTGTCACAGACATTCTCTAGAAATTGGGTGGAAATGACCCCAGCGCCACTGCCTGCTTCTCGGCCCGCTTTCCGGTATGACCCTCTGTTTGTAACTTTGCAACAGTTTTCTGTTTAATGCATGATGCCCCAGACAAAACCATGATTTCAGAGTGGGAGATAAGCTCTTAAGGAATGAGGATTTGCTTTTAGACAAGTGTCCCTATAGTAGTAATTGAGAAAAGAAGAAAGGGCGGGAAGTACGTACCATATATAGCAGAGGGGCTAATCTCTCTCTGTTTTTCATGAGAGGTCAGCTCGTGTCTGGACACGTAGCCTGGAAAGAAGAGATTTTTACTAACCCACGTGATAACAGCATTTGTAAGAGATTTAAGATTGTTTGGCATAGTGAAAGGTAAAATACAGTTAACTGGATAGTTGGAGCATGCGGTATATGATATAGCTTCCCAACAGTATTGCTGTGTGCGATACATATATTATTACAGCTGTGCTGAATGTGAAATGTATTTGTTCCTTTCTAGCTGTCACCGGAGGCAAAATTCTTAGGATTCTTTATGAAGAAAATGATGAGTCAGAGGTGGAAATTATTCACGTCACATCGCCCATGCTGGAGACCAGGAGGACGGATTCCTTTAGATATCCCAAAACAGGTGAGACCATTGCTGTCTTCTCTCCTCTTTCCCCCGTCTCATCGCCTGGGACTCTCTCGTGTTCCTCTTGTTTTATGGTAAGGCCCACCCTAGCCTCCAAAGACAAGGTTGTCTGAATGATGCTGCTCGTGTGGCTCCTTTAATTGACTGCTGTGCTTGTGGACTGAATATGTCTCAGGAAGCAGCCTCCACGGACAGGGCCGGCTCCAGGGTTTTTGCCGCCCCAAGCGGCGGGAAAAAAAAAAAAGCCGCGATCGGTGGCAGCTCAGCCGCCCCGCTTTCTTCTTCGGCGGCAATTCGGCGGCAGGTCCTTCCCTCCAAGAGGGACCGAGGGACCTGGAGCCGGATGTGCTGCCCCTTCCTTTTGGCCGCCCCAAGCACCTGCTTGCTAAACTGGTGCCTGGAGCCAGCCCTGTCCACAGAGCTCAGACTACTCACTTGCAGCCATACCAGCTTTCCAGCCACAATGTGATGTAGGTCCTAAGTTCACTGCTGAACCTAGGTCTCTTGTGAGTTGGCAACACACTGCTATGTCTTCCCTCTTTTGAAGCTGCTGTCATGGGTTTATCTGACTGCGTGGCATTGTTTCTCTTTGCAATATCTCAGTGCGAACTCTGCAGAGTGATCACACGTGTTTCACTGAGCGTTTTGTGTTTAGCAGCTGGCAGTGCACTAGTGATGTGGCATGAAGGTTAGGAGCATTAGGTGCTCCCTGGGCAGTCTCCAGGACCAGACACTTTCTGCTTAGAGCCTGGGCCACAGACTGTGTGTGATCCTGACCCAATATTACAGCCAGTGCTCGTGTCACTGCCCCTGGAATAGTAAGCGTATCCAGCAGCCAGCCTGGGGTTTTTATAGATGGCGTATTGCAGCAGGAGGGTGGGAAACAAATATCATTGGAGCACTGTGCTATTTGGAAGTGGGTAGGCAGAACTGACACAGAGGCATGCTGAGAGCTAACTTACAGCTGCATGTGAAGATCATGCTGCAAGTCTAAACAGGCCAACACCTGTTCTGGAGCGCTGCTGCCTCCTCCTCTCCCGAAATCTCAGACGTGTCTGTTATTTCTTCCTTGACCCGAATTCCATGCCCTCCACAGACAGCACATTGAGGCTAATCAGCTGAAGAGCGTTCTGTTCTTCGCTTTTTTCAGTTCTGTATGAGCTGAATTTTGGAATTATTCGAAACATGGGTGTGTCCTCCTGGAGGCAAACACACTGTCTGTTGCACAGTTTGTGTGTGACTGCTAATGCCGGTCTTTTTTACAGGCACAGCAAATCCAAAGGTCACTTTCAAGATGTCTGAAATAACAGTTGATGCTGAAGGAAGAGTAAGTTTTAAGGTTCATTTATTTCCTACATTAATTTGACATTTATGACTTTTTATTTAATTAGTATCTCGTGTCAAAGCAAACAGACTTCTTTGATGCGCAATTGTCAAATTGTTTATCTGTGGATCAGTGTTTCAAACAGGATAGGCCCATTCTAGTGTCAGATACCTGGTGTGTACATACACACACACATTCACACACTGTAACTTGGTGAGGTTATTTCAGTATCCCTGAATTGCTGTCCTCTTCAACAGATTGCAGCTGTCTTGGATAAAGAACTAGTGCAGCCATTCGAGATCCTGTTTGAAGGAGTCGAGTATATTGCGAGAGCTGGATGGACTCCAGAAGGAAAATAGTGCGTATGTTAAACCTGTCTCTGCTTACAGGGGTTGGGTTAGAAATGGACTGTTCTGGGCTCTGTCTTTCCCTCTGGCCTAAGCCTGCTCTTGCTTATGCATCGCTCCACCCTGGTTTGAGTGAAGGGGATGGGGGCACGTCTTCAAAATCAAATAGAGTCAAAACAGTCTCGGGTACTTATCTGACTCCATCACCATAGTAGCTGAGCATCGCACAGTCTTTTCAATGTATTTATCCTCCCAAGCAAGGTTCCCTCGGATTTTTTTCCATCCGTGTGCGGAATGAATTTTGTTACGTGCACCAATATCGAGAGCATGTGCGGATGTGCGCCGCCAGTAGAAACAAAAATCCTAGATATATGTATTTTTAATAAGTTACCATAGGGATAATTGCTCCAGCCAGGACAGGTTAGGCATTTTAGAACTCACTACTCAAAGAATTAAATTGAAGCATAAGAGAGAAATAAAATTATGAAACGCACAGACCAGTCGAAAAACTAAAATAACAGCACTTTGAAAGAATACAATGACTGAGAATATATGTGCCTTGCAGGAAGTACCAAAAAGTAACAACAATAACACACATATGTGTTGGGAGGACTGTGTGTGTGTGTGTGTGTGTGTGTGTGTGTGTGTGTGTGTGTGAGAGACACAGACTGTGTGTGTGCTGGCTGCTGGGGAAGTCAATGAGAGACCGTGCGCTGTCTCTTTAAGCACAGCAGCACTCACCAGAAGGCTTTTTCAGACCACAGCCGCTGCCAGAAGCGCTGTCCTGCTCCTGAGCCCTGTCCCCCCACCCTGCTCTGCGGAGATGGGGTACCTGGGTGGCGGGAGGGGGACACCCTGACATCAGCAGCCCCCTCTTCTCTGTACGGCAAGCAGGAGGGTCCTGGGAGCAGCTGGCCAGGGGCTTCAAGGCAGGAGTAGTGTGGCTGCAGAGCAGCGGAGGGAGGGGCACCTGAACACACACCGCTGGATGTGCGCTCCTCTGCTAATCAAATGAGCGGCACTTGATTGACTCTTGGGCGGCTGTGTGGCTTAGAGGGAACCCAGCTCCCAATCCCCCGGGAGGCAGGGCAGTGATAATATCCCCATTTACAGATTGGGAATTGAATGCTAGAGAGACTGATGACTTGCCCAGGGTCACAGAGGCAGTCTGTGGACGTGGAGAGAATCTAATCCAGGGCTCCCAAGTCCTAGGTTAGCACCTTAACCACTGGGCCATCGTTGCTGACCAAACTCATTGGCCAGAAACCCCACTGTAAGTGCTAACTACATTTGCATGAAACTTTTAACCCTAAAGACAAGGTGGTGCAGTGTTTCTAACTCACAAGAATTGTACTTATCCTACCTCTTGGATCAAAAGCTGACATTCTCCTTTTAACATTTTTTTTAACATGGAAGAAATACAGGAGCCTGCTTCCTGTGTTGGTTGGCTTCCTACAGAAATGTTAACAAGGCTACATGGGTAACTATCAACAGGCTGATTGGATCTGCTGGAGAGGACACTGTTGAGCCATTTAAGCTTCAGAATAATTTTTTTTAAGCATCCAAGAAGACTAGAAATATCTTCACAAGTGGCTTTTAAATTTCAGTTTACGAACTTCTGCTTCTTCCTTCCCTTTAGATTTTTCTTTTTCTTTGCTCCTATTTCCACATTCTGCCCTAAGCAGAATCCAAATCTGGTAACATTCGAGCTAGTTGAACTTTTGAAACCACAGGATTTGAGTGGGGTTGAAATCAGGCAAAACTAGTTCTTCTACCCCTACTTCGGAGCTGACGGGATTCTTTGAAATGCTAGAGGGAAAATTCGTTTTACCTGGCCAAAGTTAAGTGTCTTCTAACTGGATCTGAAATTGACCATTCTTGATGCCACCAAAATGCTTGGTGTTACTGAAAGTCAAAGACAATTCTCTCAGCTGTCTAATACTTAGAAAAAATGCACTCATAATTATTAATATTTGTTTCTCCAATAGTGCCTGGTCCATCTTGCTGGATCGCTCCCAAACACGGCTACAGATAGTGTTGATCTCCCCTGCATTATTTATCGCAGTAGAAGATGATGCTATGGAAAGACAGAAACTAATAGACGCTGTGCCTGACTCTGTTACGCCACTTATTATTTATGAAGAAACAACAGACATCTGGATAAACGTAAGAATTTTATTTTTAGACTCTTCAACAGTATGTACTTATGGGCATTATTTGTGTCACTCTTAATGGCATTGATATTATTTGCATTACTGTAGTGCCTAGAGGGTGCACTCAGGATAAAGGTCTCCATTGTGGTAGGTGCTTTACAGGCACAGGGGAAGACAGTCCCTGCCTTGAAGAGCTTGCAATGTAGACCAACCAGGAAAAGGTTAGGAAAGCAGAGAGGGCAAATGATGTCCAAAGTCATGTGGCAGGACAATGGCAGAGTTTAGACTAGAACCCATCCAGCACCCAGTCTATTAGACTACACTATCTCTCAGCTTTGCATTAGATTAGACTCAGGCTCCTTAAGATCTCATAGACTCATAGACTTTAAGGTCAGAAGGGACCATTATGATCATCTAGTCTGACCTCCCGCATGATGCAGGCCACAAAGCCGTCTCAACACTTTCCCTTGACTCTGCTGTTGAAGTCCCCAAATCCTGTGGTTTAGAGACTTCAAGTAGCAGAGAATCCTCCAGCTAGCGACCCCCGCCCCATGCTGCAGAGGAAGGCGAAAAACCTCCAGGGCCTCTGCCAATCTACCCTGGAGGAAAATTCCTTCCTAACCCCAAATATGGCGATCAGTAGAACCCCAAGCATGTAGGCAAGATTCTCCAGCCAGACCCTCATTGGCCATTGATACTATTTACCAGCGATGGCACGCTTAGATCGTTCACTGACAGCAGAGTCCGACAGACTGATGCTATTGGAGCACAGAATATTTTCTAGAATTAAGCACAAAACCAAAGAGCCCACGTGATTATCCTAATCACAACTATCTAAAACCGTCCTTTTACCTAAAACAGAGTTATGTCCCTCAGTATCTATTCATCACATTGAAAATTCTCTCACTGTGCCTCACCCTCTTACCTCTGTAAGGTTTGCTAATTGGGGCTGTCCTATATAATATGCTTACACTTGTACTACAGTCTGTAGAACCTCGCAGTGTGAAATGTCTGAGAGATTCCGGAGCATTAGTGCAACACCATAAAAAGGGAGCTACTTACAGCATTGCAGCAGTATGACACAGATGTAAGACTGATCTCCCTGAAATGCCATCTTCTTGGAACGGTCTACTCACAGTAGGACTTGGAAACATCACACACTGATTACAATTAGATCATTCAGCAGTGATCATGCTCTCTAACAGGGCATTTTAATGAACACTTTGTGTATAGCTGTATTCTCTTTGTGGTCATAAAATGAGACTCGCAATGTATCAAGATGTGTCTCTCACTTGCTCAGGGGCTGTGAGCTGCACCAGTGGGCATATCGTCTCTTTTTCCCCCCCAGCATGCTAATTGTTTTCCCACGGTGGTTCCTACAGTTCAGCTCAAACCATGTGAATGCTCCTCTCCGCATACCTAAAATTACTGTCCCCCAGAGGGCAAGCAAAAGGTGCCTAACACCAGATCACCATTCTTCTCTGAAATAACCTTTCCCTTCCAGGGTCTGCCTTGCAGACTTCGAAATAAGAGGCCATTGAATATGGAACTTCTCTGCAGCTAGCATTCTGTCAGCGGCTGCCCACCTTCCTCTGCAGAACCCTCCAACTGCCTCCTGATCTGAGCAAGGGACTGCAGGGGAGAAAGAACTTGGTAGAGTTTTTTCTGTGGGCTGGCACTAAAGGAGTGGGATGGTGACAAGGACAGTGGAAAGCAAGACAGTGAGTGAAGACACTGGCTGGGCTTGCACAGCCCATGTGGCTAATGTACACAGCAATCTGCAAGGTAATCCATTGCAGGAGTGGTTCTCAAATTATGGGTTGTAGGTGGTTTTTGGAGCCCTTCCATCTGCTCTCCAGAATGAGACCTCTTGAATGAATGTGTGGGGATAGGCCCCAGAGAGGATCTTTCTCCCCTGGAGTGGTCCATAGAATGAAGTTGGGTGAACCCCTACACTATGGTATAACATGCATCTCCTGCATCTGTCTGTGCCGGATCAGTGAGAAGTAATAGTTGCACAGGGACTCCATTATGGTCCAAGTCCTATCGATAGCCATGAACAAACTACTTTGTTTCTGCAGATCCATGATATCTTCCATGTGTTCCCTCAAACCCGCCAAGATGAGATAGAGTTTATTTTCGCCTCTGAATGTCAAACGGGGTTCCGGCACCTGTACAAAATCACCTCGGTTTTGAAGGAGAGCAGATACAAGCGATCATGTGGCGGTCTCCCTGCTCCAAGTAAGCAATACCACTATCTCTCTTTAATTGGGCACTTGCCATTGAATATTGGTCAAGTAACTGCAGCCTCTTCCAGAGGGTAGGAGAGATCTCTTCCTCCCTCCCTAGTGTAGAATGGCCCCCATCCAGCAAAGTTTTGAAGCATGTACATCATAATCATCATAATCCCTAGCTTTTGTATAGCACTAGTCTCATGCCATCACTGGGTCTACTCACTGGCTCAACGTTGCCAGTATGCTTGTAGCGGGAGGAAGGATGGATGGCACAGATAATTCTATATTCTGTACATAACGGGCTTCATTTTAATCATGGTTCTTCTTAATTAACAAAGGGGGAGATTTTTCAGAGGCACAAATGGGAATTAAGCGCCCACGTCCCAGCCCAAACTGAGAAATGTGCTCTGTTGGCTTTTTTTTTTTTTGGTCAAGATAAATGATGGGCTTATTGACATGCTGTCCTGGTCTTGCAGATTAACCAGTCTAGTAGTTATGTGGGCCATGTCCAATGAGAAATAAACTGCGGTGAAATCTGGGGTCTCCAAGTAGTAAAACTCTTTGGTGTACAGGACTGTGCATGGACTGTGGATGTAATGTGTAAAAATAACAGTCTCCTCTCTGCCTCTAGGCATAGATTGCAATATAGAGATTTAAAGTAAAGAACACACGCTTACCGCACTGTAGAAAGATGTGCCTTGGGTTTTATGCCTAGAAATACTGAATATCTGATTGGGGCCAAAAATTGGTCATCTTTTTAGGGTGGGGAAGGGAATAAAGACCACACCATATACCTAATGTGCTGGTCCTAACAAAGACTATTCATAGTGCTGTGTCTTATAGCTGCTGCTTGGACAGATGCTAACAGAACGTTGGGAACCATTAGGAAAGGGATCGATAATAAGATAGAAAATACCATAATGCCCCTATATAAATCCATGGTACGCCCACACCTGGAATACTGTGTGCAGTTCTAGTCACCCCCATCTCAAAAAAGCTATATTAGAATTGGAAAAAGTTCAGAGAAGGGCAACAGAAATGATTAGGGGTATGGAACAGTTTCCATGTGAGGAGAGATTAACAAGACTGAGACTGTTCAGCTTGGAAAAGAGACGACTAAGAAAGGATATGATAGAGATCTATAAGATCATGAGTGGTGTGGAGAAAGTGATTAGGGAAGTGCTATTTATCCCATTAGATAACACTAGAACCAGTGGTCACCCAATGAAATTAACAGGCAGCAGGTGTAAAAGAAACAAAAGGAAGTATTTCTTCACACAACGCACAGTCAACCTGTGGTGCTCATTGCCAGGGGATGTCGTGAAGGCCTAACGTATAACTGGGTTGGAGAAAGAATTCGATAAGTTCATGGAGGATAGGTCCCCACATGGCTATTAGCCAAGATACTCTGGGTGTCCCTGAGCCCCTGACTGCCAGAAGCTGGGGCTGGACAACAGGAGATGGATCACTCAATAATTGCCTGTTCTGCTCATTCCCTCTGAGGCACCTGGCATTAGCTACTGTCAGTAGACAGGATCCTGGGCTAGGTGGGCCATTGGTCTGACCCAGTATGGCCATTCTTCTGTTCTTTATGGCAGAGAAATTAACAGAAGAAGCACACTGACAGCTACTGCAAATGGAAACACAGGACCACGCAGTTTAAATAAAATAAAGTTACTGGCAAGGTTAGGTCAAACTTTGGCCCCAGTCAGGTGTACAATACAGTTATGTACAGAACCCTTGCACATCTTGCTACACAGTGTATTCTTTCAATTAAACTCCGATATTGCAATCTGTGCCTGGAGGCAGTTAGGATACTATTGATCTATTTGCTATGTGAGGACAGCGTGCTCAGCCCTGCATACTAAAGAAAGATGCATCTAATTTTACTAGTTATAGCGTCCCAGTGTCAGGCAGTTGGTTTTTTTCAGAAGGCAAAATCCCCTTTTGAAATAAAACTCCATTATTCCTATAGTGGTTAAAAACCTAGTACTGTTCTGTCTAGTACTAAACCTAGTACTATTGTGTCTATTGGTCTCTCTAGCCTGACTTCCTACCTCTGATAGTGGTAAATAGCTGATGTTTCTGAGGAAGGCAAGATTTCCGTTTAACATAAAGCTGTGTGTAATGTTCTTGGGGAAATTAGAAAACCTTGACATTTCAGAGTTTTATTCTTCCATTTGATTTTTGCAAAATCCTTCAACTTTGCAGCTTCACTCGAAATAGAACTTCTTTTTGAATGAAAAGTGAGCCAACTTGATCAAAAATGGTGCTATTTTTTTCCAGCAAAATCCCTCATTTTTAACACCTTACCCTTACCAATTCCATAGATCAGGTTTCGCATGTTTCAGTGCAAAACCTGCCTTTTTGTGCAAGTGTGGTGGGAAAAGGAAACATCGAAGGTTGCAGAAGGAGATAGGGAGAAACTGTTGAATTGAGAATTCTTTGACATTTTTTCCGTATGTCAGTGATCTCTTCCTGGAACACTCCAGCCAGCTGTGTAATGCTGCGCTGGAGAGTGGCGGGGGTGTGAATTTTTTTTTTCCCCAACCCCAGTTTTTGACTAGGTTAAAGCAAGCAAAGCCTGAATGGTGAAGTTCTATTTGTAAGGCTTCATTGTGATGAAAAGTATAAAATCTCTAATTGTACGTGTCTTGTTTATAGGTGACTTCAAGTGTCCCATCAAAGAGGAATTAGCAATTACCACTGGAGAATGGGAAGTGCTTGGTAGACATGGTTCCAATGTATGTCCCTTTATTTTACTTTTCTTGAATGAAGATCTGTATCTGTAAGATACATCGTTAGGCCTATGTGATAGCCTGGGTTAAACTCTGGGTTAGATAACAAACAAAATTAGTTGGGTCCTAAAGTCCCTCGTGGACCTTGTGGTTATCTTGCCAGACTATACAGCTACCCTCTTCTGACTCGAGAGGGAGTCAGTCAGGTCTAAGGAACAGCAAGGGCACGTAGTGGTGAGGATCTAGATAGAATGGTAGAGCTTGTATGGAGGACGCCTCAGTTTGTCTGGTGTTACGCAGGGCTATATGATCATGATGATCCCTTCTGGCCTTAAAACCTGTGAATTTGATCTTGGCGTTGTGCCTGCCAGAGCATCTCACTAAATGGGAAACAGCTCTGGGAACAATCTGGGGATTCTCTTCTTAGGGGAATGACCTCTCTCGTGCTGAAGGTTACACTCTTGGTTCTGGAGGGTGGGGAGAAGGTGCAGGCTGGACACTCCTCATGTAACTCTGCTCCTGGTGTCTTGGCCATGCATCCCACCCTTTGTGAGAGAAGAGAAGTGCCCATATTGTAGTTTCTGTGAAGGGCAGGATTGCTGAGAAAAGGAAAAGCTGCCTGGAATGGCTTGAGGTCTTTCAGCTGTCCAAGCCCATGCTGTGACCTTGCTGTTTGCTGAATAAAAAGTGCTATTCGCAAACTCATTAACTTCACCCCCATAATCAGACCTCTCACATCAGAAAATTAACATGGAAATCCACATAACTGCACACCTATATGATGCAGCAGAGATGCAAGAGATTGTAGGGAATCTGGAAACTGAGTCACCCTTCTCTCACGCATGGGGTGTCTCTTGAGGTCAGGTTTGGGGCAATATCAAGAAACCTTCCCAAGCTGTATTCATTCTGGGTTAAACTCACCCCTGTGCAAAGAGCCAGCGCAAAGGGTGTCCTCCACATCTGTCTGCCTTTCAGGACTAGGCACCACTCTTGGGCCACTAAACCCAATGGAAGGCTGTGGGTGGAGGGAGGGTAGGCCTTGTGTGGACAGTCTGCCTGGGGAGAATAGTACCCTGGTGCATTAATAGAGGAACTGGGTCTCCAGTCAAGCCCCAGCTTTAAGTACAAAAGTGGGGATGATTGATTGGTTCTGCTGGTGAGCGGAACATAAGAACGGCTGTACTGGGTCACACCAAAGGTCCATCTAGCCCAGTATCCTGTCTACCGACAGTGGCCAATGCCAGGTGCCCCAGAGGGAGTGAACCTAACAGGTAATGATCAAGTGATCTCTCTCCTGCCATCCGTCTCCACCCTCTGACAAACAGAGGCTAGGGACACCATTCCTTACCCATCCTGGCCAATAGCTACTAATGGACTTAACCTCCATGAATGTATCCAGTTCTCTTTTAAAAGAAGTAGCCAGTGCTGCTTTGCTTTTTAATGTTCGCAAAGGTGCTGCTTGTCCTCTGAGCTCATTATTTAACCTGCCACTCCAGCCCTGAATCTCTGGTTTCGATAGTGGAGATGAGCAGCACAGAGAGGCATCTTAAGCTGATGATTTCCTTTGCTTTGTGCTCTTTGTTTCTCAAGAGTTTGCCACCCTCTAGTAAAGAGGTTCATAATGAAGTATGGACCTGCAGGGTGGTGGAAGGGGGAGAGAAGTAGCACTGCAAGTAGATGGAAGGAAAATTTCCAAGCATCCCATGAGCAGTAGGATGGAAGGGCTGAAGCCCCAGCATCCAGCTGCTGTCCTGTTTCGGAGGACTTTTTTCTTCAAAGGGATTAACACACACCTGGGCAGCACGGCTCTTTTCAGCTTTTGCCTCTTCTTTCTCCTTTTTATGCCGGCTCAATCTTCGTGTCTCCAGGTCCACTTTTGAGGTTTTGTGTTGAATTCCTCCTGCGGGGATAAAATACCCACTACTCTATAATCGCTTCTTTTTTTAACTCTTAAAGAACTCGAGTGAGCGATGTCCGGGGTTACTCAGCTCTCAGCATGTTTCTCTGTTATCTAAAAAAATAAACCATGAGAGTGAGAACACTGGAATGAGTGGAGTAGAGCTGAAATACTTGCAGTTTATGTAAGGGACGGCAATCTTGGTAACGCAACGATTTCTGTTTGGAGACCGTTTGTGCTGCAATTGGTGGCTGGGCCCCTAAGAAAAAATATACAACCACTCAGTAAAATCAGTAGCTGTACTCTAGGGTTGGGGGGTTGCAAATGTTGTGCCGGTTTTTGAAAAAGAGATATGGGGTGATCATGGGTAGTATAGGTCGATCAGCGTTACTTGAGCACCAGGGAAATTGGTTGAAATAATTACTAAAAATAGTTACAGTACACCTGGATTAGCATGATTGGTCGTCTAACCAGCTTGGCTTCTGTAAAAGAAAACAATTCTCCTCTGAATTACTAGAATTCTTTGAGTGTCAATAAAATAGTGGATCTTAGAGAATCCATTGTTTGGACCTTCAAAAGGCCTTTGATAGAGGCCCTTCCAAGAGATGATTAAGGAAGCCAAGTAGTCATGGGGTGAGAGGTGAACTGTCATGGATCAGAAACTGTTTCCTGTTACATAGTCCAAGAGTAGGAAAAAATGGTCATTTTGTACCATGGCAAAAGGTTTAAAGACAGGTGCCCCCATGGTTTCATGCTGGGACTGCTGTTTGTAAAATATATTTATTAATAATCTGGGAAAGGGAGTGAACAGTGAATTAGGGAAATTTACAGGTGAGACAGAATGATTTAGGATAATCAAGACCAGAGAAAACAAGGAAGGTCAGAGGGACCTGACAGACCCGGGAAACCAGGTAGCAAATGAAATTGAGTGTTGACATATGCAAAGTTGTGTGTATTGGAAGGGCTAATTTGAACTAGATCTGTCCATTGCTGGGCTCTAAATTAACTGTAACCCCCTGGGGAGGTGGGGGCAGAGAGTCCTGGGCATCATTGTGCGGATAGCTCAGTGATTTGGCTGGTACAAACTGAGGTGGTGTTTGGGTTTTTTGGCAGATCCGCGTGGATGAAGCAAAGAAACTGGTGTATTTTGAAGGCACAAAGGATTCCCCTTTAGAGCATCACCTGTACGTCGTTAGCTACGAGAATCCCGGAGTGGTGAAGCGACTGACGGACCGTAGTTTCTCTCACGCCTGCTCCGTTAGTCAGGTATCTGTAGTCCGTGGGACCCTCTTTTAGGAAAGGGCTGGGCCTGGTGGTTTTTGGCACGCCTTGCACTAGCGGTGTTCAAATATATGGAAGCTGGCTTCAGCTTTTTTAAATCTGTTATAAAACCGTGGGTGTGGGGATGGGCATGTATTAGCAACTGCAGAAACCTGACCTCTGGGTGTGCAGCCTGGCGAATGGCATGAATCAGTGCCAACTTGCAGACATGGACTAATGCCACCACTAATTTTGCAGGTGCATTTTTCAGTGTCTGGCAGAACATTTGGAATATTAACACCCTTGCGGCTACTATGCTGCCTGTAACTGAGTAAAACTACAGCTCCTATGGGCTGGTCTACACTGGGGGGGAGTCAATCTAAGATACGCAACTTCCGCTATGTGAATAGCGTAGCTGAACTCGAAGTATCTTAGATCCATTTACCTGGGGTCCACACGGCAGGGGATTGACGGCTGCGGCTCCCCTGTCGACTCCGCTACTGCCGCTCGCTCCGGTGGAGTTCCGGAATTGACAGGGAGCGCGTTCGGGGATTGATATATCGCGTCTTAAGGAGACGCGATATATCGATTCCCGATAAATCGATCGCTACCCGCATATATGGCGGGTAGTCTGGACGTACCCTAAGACTATCTCCTCTCTCACAAGAGCTGGAACTCCCAATTTTAATTTGATCCGAGCTTCTTCAGAGAGCTCTAAGTGCAAAAGTAAAGGAGCTTTGGGCTTGTGTTTCTTCACTGTGTTGTTCAAGAAAATATTGTCATCTCTGTGTAGGACTGTGACATGTTCATCAGTAAATTCAGTAACCAGAAGAACCCGCACTGTGTGTCACTGTACAGGCTGACTGCTTCTGAAGATGATGTTGCTCACAGAACGAAGGAATTCTGGGCCACGATTCTAGATTCGGCAGGTAATAACTTTGGCTCTCCTTTACAGTTCTGCCTCAGATTCCCAATCAAAAGACTTCTAGCTACATGTTTATTGTAGTGTCAGTACTCTGTGTTCCTCTTCATGGGCTAGATCCTGCTGCTCTTACTCATGTGGGAATATGTGACGAGTAAGGATTGCTGGATCGGCCTTTGGTTTTGTGCTGACGTCTGGAAGGGGTAGCTGGCCACCGTATTCGAGTCTGTTACAAGTTTGAATGTATTGCTGGGCCTTATCAACAAAAAACTTGTCTTTTTGTAAGTGCTGTTCCAAACCATTTGAAGGGTACAGGGCTAATAGGACATGTGCTTGGAAAACCCTTAGATTTGAAGGGGGTGTCCCCACCAGTTTTGTACCTTGTGGTGGCCAAAGGCTACTTTTTATTTTGGAGCTTGTTGCAGATAATGATGTACAGAGTTAGCTCCTGGGCTGGTTAACAACCTTCATGGCCAAGTGGCATTTAGGCAATGAGTTAAAATCTGCTGTACATCTGGAGCCACGCTGAGGGACTAATGGAGTGAGTCGTAACATACACTGATGTGACAGAGCTGAATTTGGCTTGATGTGCTGTACTTTGGTCAGAAGATGATTTCTTTCATCGAGCTGCTGCTTCTCTACCAGCTGCCTGCGTGCAGGAGGGGGAGTCTCAGTTCTGACTCAGAAGCACAGATCATGCCTCCGACACGCCTCACCCCAAGTTCGTTAGCCAAGGTCACTGTAGGAAACTGCCCGGGGCAGAACAACAGCTACACTGTGCCATAGGGATCTGAATTAAAATGACTTGTTCATAGAGAACATGGGCTGAATGCATTACTTTTTTTTTTTTTTGTTAACACAGGAAATTTTCTCTGTTTCATAATCACAGAAATGTATTTTAGGAGCAGGTGATTCCAATAGTGCCCCACTCTCCCTTGCAGAAAAATTGTGCTTATTTTGTTTCTAGCTTGAAGATTATCAGCTCGATTAAGGGAGTCTTGTCCAGCTGCAGCTTCTCTGTTCTGGGACCCGAGCTAGCTAGCTCAAGTGGTGAGCACGTTCTGTGAGTGCAGCGTAGACCTCCACAAAGGGTGGAAGAGTTCACGTCTGGCCCTGCTGGGGTTGAAACCTTCCTAGAATGCATCTAGCACAGGATCCCTGACTCAGAACTTTTTCTGTGAATGAGACCCTTACTAGCTAGTAATGGGCCTAATGAAAACCCACAGATCCAAACATCCCTGAACTCGGGGAGGGTTTGGACCTGCGCTGGACCTACGTGGTGGAGACACTCCAGTGCTAAGGGTGCTGTAGACAAAATTAAACCCCTTCCCCTCCCTCCTGTAGTGCCAGCTTCCTCTCAGTGACTTTTTAACACAGTTCTTGGGAGATGGGGGATCTGGAAGAAACTGCATTAGAACTATGCCAGAAAAACGTATGTACATGAGGAACAAAACTTTGATGGTGGACTCTTCAATCTAGCGGACAAAGGTGTAGCATGATCAAATGGCAGGGAATTGACACTAGACAAATTCAGAATAGAAATAAGGGGCAAATCTTTAACATTGAGGGTAATTAATCACCGGCACGATTTATCAAGGGTTGTGGTGAAGTCTTCATAACTGACAGCTTTTACATCAAGATTAGACGTTTCTCTAAAAGATGTGCTGTAGTTCAAAAAAGAATTAATCCAGGGAAATCCTATGACCAGTGCTATACAGGAGGTCAGATTAGATGATCACAATGGTCCCTTCTGGCTGTAAGACACACAACAATCCTGCCTCATGCTGGCATCATCTGTAGTGTAGACAGGGCTGTGAGCTCCTGCTGTCCATCAGGTTCTTGTTAAAATGGGCCCATTTCTTCTTGCCTGCCTGCAGGTCCTTTTCCCGACTATGTTCCCCCAGAAATCTTCTCCTTTGAGAGTTCCTCAGGCTTTACGCTGTATGGCATGATGTACAAACCTCACCACCTGCAACCTGGGAAGAAATACCCCACTGTCCTCTTCATATACGGAGGGCCTCAGGTGAGTGCAGTGTAATAGAGGCTAATAGAAATACCTGCTAATTTTTGTCTCTTGTACTTACTGTTCCTGAGATGGGATTGTGGCGGGGACTGACCATGAAACAGGCTTAAAGCATTTTCTGTAACTTCATTTTACTAGTGGGGGAGAAATGCACAGCATCTTCAAGGTAGTAAGGCTGGAGGGATAAATCTAATGTGGGACTGCAGCCCTGCAAAATCACCATGAGGATTTACCATCCCAGGCACAAAATGATTCACCTGGGTCCTGGAAAACCCAATATTTCATATACCTGGGAGCAGGGAAAAACTCTCCTCAGATGGGGGAGGGATAGCTCAGTGGTTTGAGCATTGGCCTGCTAAACCCAGGATTGTGAGTTCAATCCTTGAGGGGGCCACTCTGGATCTAGGGCAAATCAGTACTTGGTCCTGCTAGTGAAGGCAGGGGGCTGGACACGATGACCTTTCGGGGTCCCTTTCAGTTCTGAGATAGGTATATCTCCATATACGAGATGGATGAGTAGAATTTCGGAAGGCTGCCGTGTAGCAATGAACCTGATCTGTGACTCTCAAGGGGAAGATGGGGAGAACCGCTTGGCTCCTACCCCTGCAAAGGAGACCACAGTACCTCTACACATGTGCATAAAGCGGGATGCGAAGACAAGGGGCCTGGATTTGTCGCAGCCCCCACAATGAGGGGGTGAATTCTGTGTGTGGGTGACTTGAGCTGAGACTCTGGGGATGGTACCAAACAATCCTGAATCGGATTAAGAGATGAGCAGTCAGTTCGGTAGTTTGTAGCCCCTGGCACTTATTTCCAGTGGTCTATCTGGTGTCGCTCGGTTAATATTTCCAGTTGTCTTTTTCCAGGTGCAGCTGGTGAACAATCGGTTTAAAGGAGTCAAGTATTTTCGCTTGAACACGCTGGCCTCACTGGGTTACGTAGTTGTTGTAATTGACAACAGGGGGTCCTGCCACCGAGGGCTTAAGTTTGAAGGTGCCTTTAAATACAAAATGGTAAGTGGTGGGATGTATGCCAGTGTCCCCACGTGGTTCTGGGCAATGCAGCCTGTCCTTGGCTTTCAGATGGGGCGCCGGGGGGAGCGCGACTTGGTGCGTCATCCTACAGAAGAAGGCGCTAGCTTGTCTTAGTGCTCTGGCAGTGATTCTAGTGCTTCTTACACAAAACCGTAGAGTGTTCCACTCCTGGGGCTTGGGAGGGGGGTGGACACATCCAACCGGTATGGAACTGGGGAGGAAAACGGATAGCGAGAGAGGATATAAAATATAAGGCATATAACTGCATCTGCTTCAGGGTATAAGCCAACCTCTGACATGGGTGAGTTAGTCCCTAACTTTCCATTGTGGTCTTTCTGAACCCGCTGGCCCTGCAAAGGTGGGATACCTTCAGACGGACGATGGATCACTCCACTATGGGGCTTGGCGATTCCTAGGGTCCTGTTTGTAGAGGAAACCTGCTCCGCCCCGAGCTCTGGCGGGGAAGGAAGTGCCATCTTTGTGTTGCTTTGCAGAGGTGATGGGCACATGTTTTGAGGGGGGCAGTTGTGCCAGTTTGATGCACAGAGCCAGAATCTGGCCCTAGATATTGTAGAGGAATTTGTCTCTTAAATTAAGAAAGTCCCCTTTCCCCAAACAAGAACACCACAGACCAGAACACCACACTTATGAACATTTCCCATGAGGAAGCTGAGCGGGGTGGAGGAAATGTGTCCTTACATGTACTTACTTACATGTCCTCTGGGGAAGGGGCAATCCTTTGGTTCCATGTTTGTACAGCACCTTGCCCAGTGGGGGCCCATTCCTGGAATGGGGCTCCTAGGTGGTACTGCAACAGAAATCATTAATCATAATGGGCAAAGTTGATTGTTTTTTGGAAACTCTGAGAATCATACGTTTGTCAAGAACTAACAAAAAAAAATCTTTATCCAACAGGGTCAAATAGAAATTGACGACCAAGTGGAAGGGCTGCAGTATTTAGCATCCCAGTATGACTTCATTGATTTAGACCGAGTTGGCATTCATGGCTGGTCCTATGGAGGATACCTGTCTCTGATGGCATTAATGCAGAGGTCAGACCTCTTCAGGGTACGTTAATGTATCGTGGGCTTATCTCTGTGGCACAGGAAGGATGTTTCTTAATCAGATTATATCTCCATGTCCCATGTGTGTTTGTAGATACAAAGACTTTTGAACTGTAAACAGTGAGTGCTATGCGTGTGCAAAATAGTCTGGTTTTTATTTCACCTCAAGATACAAACAGTGGAGGGGCATAGGACATAACAAAGTTACCACAAAGTAAATTTCCATTTCCAAAGTACATTTCTACCTGGTATGGGCTTGAAAATATTTCAATTCAGGCTTTTGTACTTAGATATTTTTTTGAATGTAGACAATATTCACTATGTTATAAAATTATTGCTTTCAAATTCGAGGTACCGTATATTTTTAATCTGAGTTTCAGGATATATTCCAGTAAACAGATAGGACTCTGTGTGTGACCTTGAATAAGTCATTTTGTTTTACCATCTGTAATATGGGAATGGTATGTTCCTATACTGTAGCATATTGTGAATGTCAGTTAGCGATTGCAAAGCAGTTAGGCTTTGTTTGCTCAGAGATTTTGTCTCTGTATAACTGTTGGTTGCAGCGTGATATTTTTTTTAACAGTTATAGTTATACCAATGCATCTGCTAGTGTGGACTCAGTTATACTGGTATAGTCAATTATTCCCCTTCCAATACAGGATTAGCTATGCTAGTGTAAAGCACCTTTATACTGGTATAACTGTGTCCACACTAGTGATGTTATACACTTTATACTGGTATTGTTAAAGTGATGCTTCTGTGGGCACATCTACGCTACACGCCGGATTGGCGGATAGTGATCGATCTATCAGGGATCGATTTATCGCGTCTAGTGTAGACACGACAAAATCGATCCCTGATCACTCTGCCGTCAACTCCAGAACTCCCACCACGGCGAGAGGTGGAAGTGGAGTAGACGGGGGAGCGGCAGTGGTAGACTTGCTGCCGTCCTGACGGCCAGGTAAATCGACCCAAGATACGCCAACTTCAGCTACGCGATCTTAGGTCGACACCCTCCTCCCTCCCCCCAATGTAGACCTAGCCTGTGTCTAGACAAGGCATTAGAGCAGGGGCGGGCAAACTTTTTGACCTGAGGGCCACATCGGGTTTTG